CGTCGATTCCCAACGAACACCTCGAGTGCCGTGGTTCACAATCTCGTCCAGTGACCGCAGGGCGGTCACCTTAATCGGACACGCAATCATCTCGGGACGCTGTTCAACCTGTTGCACTGTCCGGTAGCACGATTGAACTGCTCCCGGACCCCGCGGCGTTTTCACAATTCACGTCGCTTTTACGGGGTTGCAACTCGATAGGTAGCCCTGAAAGGTTCCTAACGTTATTGTTGCGTCCGACGCTCACTGACTTTTGGCCGGAGTCGATCGCGGGTAAACGGAACATAGTAAATTCTAGTATCCGAAAACCATGCTCACGCCAGTCCTCTGTCCCTTGATAGCGGAAAGGAAAGACGGAGTAAAAAGGAAATCATTTTGACTCACTCAGTTTTCCCCGGGGGCCTTTGTTCCGGGGTCGCTTGGTCAACCTGACGGCTACTGGTCCGTCGACGCGGCGACGAAGGGCACCATCGGCGGTCTTCGCAACCTCGCTAGACTGGGACCGGTGTTGCAGGCACAGCGCATTTTCTCGCTCCGAGATACGCTTTTAGTTTGTGCGCTGACGGGGTGTCCACTCTGAATGGGCCCCGCGAGCCGTCTCGAAAGCAAAAAGCTGCACTTGCTTCGTGTTGCGTCACCGTGCTTTGTTCGAGAACGGGCTTGACCTCGAAAAGCGCAGGTGTGCCTCCCCAGCGAAGTAGGCCGGCGTCGTCCCGAAAGGGAATGCCTCGGACGTATTGCGGGCGTTTAGTCACCTCCGTTTGGAAGCGAGCTCGGCTGAAAAGACACTGCATTGTGTCCGTGCGTGGCTGACGTGGCCACTAAGCCGTTGAGTGGCGTCGGGTGTCGGGCGTTCGCCCCTCCCTTTGTCCACCTGTTTGATCTTTGGCCGGAAATTGACCTGGTTCGATAGGAGATAGATGCTGCTGTCTTTGCAGTCCACGGAAAGCCGCACGTTGGGCGCCAGATGTGGGATTCTCCTCTTTGAGGGTACCACTTAGAAACACAAAGAGGGTTCCTCGGGTTCGGATAAAGACGTGTTTATTGACTGCAATGCCAGCACGTTTCGCTCTTAGACAATGAAAAGACTGGGCGCAGGCTCAATTGCCAGTATCACCCGGTCGGTTTCCCGCGCTGCCGCATTAGACAGATTCACGGGAAGTCGGAGGCCCACAAAGAAAAACCAAGCTCCGTAGAGCCAGGGCCTCCGCCGACGAGAGCCCCTGGCCCAAACAAAAATTGGCTTGCTCTTTATGTTTATACAGCCTTGATGGAGATGCGCCTCAACGGGTAATCGGTCTCTTAGCTGTAGATGAGAAATTTAGCCAGTGCGGTACAACCGCTAACCTGGGATTTTTAACGTGCATCACGCAGTAGTGATCACACGAACGCGTGCCGGTACGAAACTCATCCAGATCGAAACGGGCGGGGGAGGCGGGGATCGAACCCAGAAGGTTCCCAGCGCAAGCTTTCGCTCCACGCTCCGAGCTGAGACGCGTTAGCCCACTCGGCCACTTCCTCCCCTCGCCCCTGGCCCAGAGAGAGAGAGAGAGAAGTCTTGCAAAGGAGGAAAAACCATCGTTGGAGTTACAGCCATGGGCCGAACGGTCATCGTTGGATTGGGGGGAAGGGAAGGGGATAAAAGCTGATAGAAGAAAAAATTGTGAAAAAAGAGAGAGGGAGGTTGTTTCGCCAAAGCCGACAAGCGGGGCGCGAGGAGCCACAGAAAGTGGCTGGCAGAAAAGGGGGCGGTGCCTTCCACCTTCGGGGCCAGCTTATGTAGCCTCGGAGAATGGACGCGCCCGGTGAGGCCACTAGCAGTCGCGTCCATTATAACTCTCAAGGGTGTGCCGAAGGCGCGTTCACCCAAAATGGGCAAGGGAGAGCCGGCCCCTTCGGGGAATTCGGCCTCGTGGTTCCTTGTATCCGGGTGGCCGACGCCATTGGTGACGACGGCTCCCACGGCCTGCTCGAAGCTAGGCCTGGATAGGGATAGAGGGAACCCCATGGTTCCCACAGGCTGCAGAGAGTCGCTTGCAGTAGCGTGCCCGTGCCGAGGCCCCGCATTGAGTCGGCCGCGTGGTACTGGCGTAGAGCAGCAGGCGGTGGGACTTGGCGGTGGGTGGCCGGCGGTGAGGCGCTTGCCGTGATTGAACTTGCGGTGAGGAGGCGGCGGGGACGTACTCGTGTTGGAGTGTCTGCAGTGAGCTGAGTGCAGAGAGTGGTACGCATTGAGTCGCGTGGTATTACCGCGTTGGGTTGCACGCATTGTGTTGCGTTGGGTTGCACACGGTGGTTTGCTGGATGAGTGGCACGCGGCGAGTTGCGTGGTGTGGCCGCGTTGGGTTGCACGCAGTAAGTTGCGTTGGGTTGCAAGCGGTAATTTGCTTGATTGAGTGGCACGCTGTGAGTTGCGACGCTGGGTGTCTTGCGGTAAACTGCACGCGGAGGGGTGCAGCGTTGAGGGCGTGGCAGGGACGCGGGTAGGTTTCTTCGTTTGTCTTGCGTTATGAAAGAAAGGAGATGGGGCTCACCGGCGGTGATGGTGACGGAGGCGGAATTTCGCTTGAGACGTGGGCCGTGGCGCCGAAAGTTGGGGCAACAATCGGTGACGCGCCCCGCGGACAAGATGGTGGCTGGAGTGGAGCGGACAGTGGCGGTGGCAGAGACCGTCGTTGCAAAGCGCTCGCCGAGCTTCGCATTTCCGTCGAGCGGTACTACCACCGCCATGTCGTGGGCCATGGGCAACAGCCGTCGGCGATGCAGCACTTGAGCCGGGTGAGGTAATCTGACGCTCTCCGGGGCCGCTCGATCGAGCGGAGAAAAGTTCTCTCGGGAGCAGCTGGGTCGGTGCGTGCGTACGTGACCACAGTATCATTGTAATTCTTTCGGCACAAACTTCTTTTCCAAGCCTCTTGAGCAGTTTGATTGGCGCAACCCACTGCATCAATCGCAATGAGTGCCCTACCGGGTGTCCTGGGAAAAGGTAGACACTCGGGCACTTTTTTTTAGAATGTACGTTTTCACTCCGGCAAGAGGTTAAACCGAGCTATTAACACACACTGTATTATATGGATGGCACAACCTTTTTACGGATTGCACGTTTGCAACATGCGAACCGGAAAACAAAGCACCGACCGACAGCCGAGCTCTGACACAGCGGTCGTCTTCTCACTGATTGGATACGAGTGCCAGCTGAACGCCTTGCTTGGGTACATCCGAGTCACTGCCTCCTCACGGCTCACATCACGGGATTCAAACATAAGGGTAGGTGCGTTTTACTTCTAACAGAGGCTAAAAGAGCGAGCTACTGGCTTCCTGAGAGAAAGAACGCAAACTAGAGAGTAAGAAAACGGACGGCAGTTTCTGTGCTCAGTTGCCGCTACGAGTTTAGGTAGTCAGTGCTTGTTAACATTATTCCTTTTTTTTTTTTTTTTCGACGCGCGACATCGGTGTTTGTGCGCAAAATAAAGCTTGAGAACAACTAGGTACATACCTTGCAAGCGAAGGTTTGTTGCTTCGTTCTGTGTATTAAAGCGTCTAAGAATGCGATGCAGCGCTGAGCATACAGCTGGGCGCTGCATTATATTTTGTGCTACCGGTGCCTTTGCCACGAAAGTAGGTCCGATTTGTTTTGAAACACTGTTAGCTCTAAAGTAAAAATTATTGTTGCCTTTTCTTATAACTGGATCAACTATTTTCGGAATAAATGACCAGCTATTGCAAAATGTCAAGGGCTAAAAGCATGCGTAAAAAAAAAGCAAACAAATTAAGCACACGCCCTCTGCTCCGCCTTAAACAATTCGATCTTTTGAACACCTTCACAAAATTCTCTCGTATAAAGTCAAATTCTATGATGTTTAACCTTTGTCGACTCCCATGCTGTGCTATGCTTTCTACCTCGTTATTGAACCTGCAGTGACGTTGCTATACTCCCCTAGCTTGAGAGACAAGAAAACTAAATCCCTAATTTATTGCTGAGCGGCTTAGTTCGAATGAGAATTAAAATAAATCATCACCCCAAAAGGGGCAAGGGATTAACCCTCTGCCTTTGTTTCTCTCTATAGCTTAAGCGCTTGAGTTTCTGCCAATTATAAAACAAAACAAACAAAAAAAAGTGTTTGAAGGTTGATCTCATCTGACATAAGCACTCCAGTGATTCTAATTAACCTGCCAAGTCCGTTATTCACAGGCAAAACTAATTATACAGCTTTTTTGCGTTATATTACGGAGATAACTGTAAGCTCCGCAGTGCACAAAAAAGAAGTAAAATATTTTCATAAATATAAATAGCAAGGACAAAGATTTGATTTTCATATGCGGATATTTGTTTGACAAAGTTTTTTTTTATTACGGCCCAGCTGCAACGGTGCCTCTACGTTAATTATTAACTTCCTTTGTTACTAAGAAATTTCGGTAAAAGTGGCGCGGTGTATTTTTAGCACTAGAACGTAAAACAAATCCTATATTCATTTCATCTGAATATCTCAGTATTATGGCAAGTACAAATAAGTCAACATTTTATTTTCTTAAAAGAGTTTGGAGAGAGTATGGAATCAAAAAAGCTCATCGTTTTTATGCTCGTGAAGCAATACAAGAAATAACATATTCATCACGTTCTCAGCATTTTTTTTAAACTATACTGTCATCTGCAGCAATGAATACGACCAAACATATAAAGGTCTATAGAATGATGTCTATAGGAATGCGCTACGGATACGAAAGCTTTCACTTTTCTACACGTAAGCAGTCTTAAATGCCCTCCTGTAATTTCTTTTGCCGATAGCTAAAAAAAAAAAAAAAAGAAATGCAGGAAGTGGCGAATCTTGAGAACATTACTGTGGCTCCTGAGGCATTGAGATTGAGGCATTAGCCGATCAGAACGTCGAAGGACGAATTGGGAAGCAACACCCTGCGTTCTCTACTCTGGCACTCTGGCAGTCACTGTGGCCAATGTAGTGAGAATTCTTTCAAAGAGACATAGCCGAGTCGAGACACACCGCTCGGAACTTGTCCTTCCGCTCGACGGAGGTCGGGAACTTGAGCTCTGCAGCGAGCCATAGCGTCTCCTTGACCGAGAAGCAGTCCATGTGCAGGTCCGTCTGCGGCACGAAGCAGCTGCGGCTGCCCAGTTCCTCCGCCGATAACTTGGCGCCGTTGACGAGGATCTCGCCGTCGTAGCCCTCTCTGCTGTATGGCAAAGGACGGCGCCTGAGACACCGCTCCGTGTACTAAAGGCACTTCCAAAGGCTCATGTATACCGCCTTGCGTTGCTTACGAAAACCCACTGTATGACGAGTTCAAGCAGCGAGAGGAGGAGCGGTATGGCGCCCCAGTGGTCTCGCACGCTTAGTGGCACCGAGATGTCCACCCCTTTGTTTCGGTGAGACGGCTCGTGGCCGCATAGGGACATGCACTCAAAAGAATTTGTAGTTATTACTTGCCCGCAAAACACTTGGAAGGACCAATCGCTGCAACCTAAGGAGAGAGCTCGGTGAATGACAAGGCGGCAAAGATGTTCAACCCCCCCCCCCCAAATCGAAAAAAGAAAGCCTGCGCTGTGGCATTGAGCGCTCTTTCGTATATTCTAGCGATTGGCACTCCCAAGTGTGTTGCCGGAGGGTGGACGTTCCGAAATCCTTAGAGTGCATCAGCCAATCATCCTTTTCTTTGGTTGAAGTGATTAAGCTAAAACTAATCATTGGTGTTTCAAATGAGTCACCGGGCGGAATGCACGTGCACGCAGGAGTTTCTGAGAATGGAGACACCGCTGTGGCGAGCAGGGCAAAGGGCCTACGATTAGCGCTCGGTCTATATATAGTAACTGAAGTGCTGGGTGTGTCGTAAGGTATTCACACTTCCTGCATCGTGATTTGTTCTTCGGCGTTAATATTGGCCGACGGCGGAATCTCATTGGCTGTGGAGCAGTAATGAGATGCTATTAAGCTTTCAGTGACTATTGGCGCCGTGCGTGTCCAGAAGCACCGCTGTGGTCGGAGTTTGCGATTGGCTATACCGTAGCTTCCTGTATGCTGATAATGCCTACATAATCGCAGGTTCACAGCGAGGTAAATTCTGCCGATCACGACGAGGCAAATGCTTGCCGTGACGTCACGAAGGGAAAGTATAATTGGGCGCCACCCAGACTTGTGCACGCCCCCAAGAAACTAACCAAATACCGTTGCTCGTTACTCGCTCAAAAACTAACTAAATACGTCACTGGTTACCGCTTCTCAAAAGGAACGCGTTCTTTTACCTCGAATGTAACGAGGTGTCTGCGACATTCGACGACGTCCGCACAACTGCGGCATATGTCTGCGCACGCAGTGTGAACGAAACTTCGAGGGACAATGATAACAAACGGCGAGACGACGAGGGTGGTTGTGACGTGAGAGACGGTGGTAACGGCCGGACCGCCGGACGGCATCCAAGAAGCGCGTTGCGCAGGCGCGTTACGCCAATCACGTGGACAACGCTGACCGCTGAGGGGAAACTTTTGTGACGTCACCCGTTACGCTCGCCCGGAAGAAGTAAAAACAAGCAAAAAGGGGCAATTGTGGTCACGTTTAGCTCAATGTCGGCTACTCCCATGCCATAGCCTTGACTGCGCTGTTGGTTGCGTCTCAATTCTTCGCTAGAGTCAGCCGATTTCGGCAATTTGGCGCGTTGCAAAGGTTGTTAAACCGTTTAAGAAACATTTAGACAGAACTAGGTCGTAATATTTAACGTGTGGTCTTCCTAAGTAATACTGAAAAAGACGGATGTTTTTGTTTAACAAAAATGAAGTTTAGTTGTTTTTTACAAGTAATTACAGATGTCTGGGGTGTTGCCAATACCGCGACATTTAAAAACGCAGCTATCGAAGAAACCATTTTTATGAAAACAAAATTTGTAAAGAAAAACAAATGCTGGCAGAAAACCGGATGCTATACCTTTTTTTTTTTTACTTGCGATGATGGCACAGACGTGGTACACGTTTGGTACACAACTGGTACACGTCTTTGTTCGTAGAAATAATATAATCCATGCAGTGTCACTGTCATTAACAGATAAAAATCAGAAACTACATGAACGCTTAACCATGCGTAGGGAACCAACCAACGCACGTTACTTCTAGAGGTTCTCTCACCTTCATGTTCCTTTCAGTTTAAATTCGTGTATTTCTTTAAGTGAATACATTGATCTGTAGCGAAACATCGATGGGGTGGTGTCGGGTGCACGGACATCGAAGGAGCACTCTATTCTAGCACCTTTCGCGTTTTTCTTTCGAATGACAACGGGATGGGCAGCGCCAAGGGAGGGTGTCGGATGGTTTTTTTTTTTTTTTTATTAAGGACCTGCTTGATGGCGTAAACCGACATGATCCTTGCCATCTGCCTTCAAGACGATGGGTGACCGCACGGAGTCTGAAAAGCGTTTGCACGCAAACTAACATACGATGCACTCGGAACGCCAATAATTGGTGTTTTATACCATGTTTAGCCAATGATAATGTGTATCGCATTTCAATGGATGTGCAGTCCAGCGAAAAGCGTCTATCCCCTTCGCTACTAAGGCTGTAAGACTATTGCACTAGCTGCACCTTTGTGTAGACCCACGCTGGCTCAGGCCTGTCCTGCCAGCGAAAGAGCACAGCACAGACCGCCCTTCTCATTCACTTAATAAGAGAAGACCACAGTGTTCGGAGTCTATCGCTGTGCGCTATCTGCTCAGGCACTTTTGAGGGTGTAACACTTTAGCTTCGAGTGACGCGATGCACAAGGATCTGCCTGATGATGTGACGTCCAGGCACTGAATGATGGCGCAGAGCAACAATACCAGAAGCCGCTGAGAATGCTGAGCAGCGTTGACTTTCCAGCGTTGGGAGGTCCGAGGACAGCCACGATGTCTCCTGGCAGCGCAGACCCGGTTAGGTTGCGCAGCACTGTTTTCCGACGGGGCTGCTTGGTCCAGTCGGTCAGTTTTTTCTCGAACAGGCCTACCAAAGAAAGCACAGGTACGCCCTCACACGTTTCCGCACGTATACTGTCCGATGTGCCGGCGCTTCACAATAAAGGGTATTCGCTGTACACCATATTTGAGGGCGAGGTTTAGAGTGCATTCTCGGAACCTCCGACCAACTCTATACTTACGACCACTTCACAGGCGCGGATCCAAGGGGGAAGGGGCTACGGGGGCGGCCGCCCCCCCCCCCCCCCCCAAACTACGTCCGACCCCCTTTTCGGAGGGCAATTTGACATAAATAGACACCCGACCCCCCCCCCCCCCCCCCCCCCCCCCCCCCCCCCCGGGTGGCAGAAGGGAAGGCTCGGTACTCAAGGACGAGGGGTCAAAATAGGGTAAGTCGCAGCCTAGCAGGCACACTTGTACTCTGAACTTGGAGAACCACTTCGTCGAATGGGAGAATAGTATCCTTACAAATTTTTCTGCCCCCCCCCCCCCCTTTCCCAAAACGGAGTTCTGGATCCGCCCCTGCCAATTCATCTGAGCGCTCCCGATGGAAGAGCCTGCTCCCGGCTCAGGGCTAGAGTTCCTGTATAGGCTCCCTACGGTTGCGCATTTGTTTTCCCCGCGCCGCCACGCCGCTATTCGCCGAGATCCATCACGTGAGGAGCAAAGCATCCGTTGGCGTGCAAGAAAGCCGCCTTTACGGTCGCTCCGCCGACGTTTCTCTTGCCCCGGCGTATGTTTCCCTGCTTTCCGCCTCCTTTTCCTCCTCTCCTGTTTTCCATGCGCGGCGGCGCGCGCGGCGCCGCTATTCGCCAAATTTAGTCACGTGAGGAGCAAAGCGTCCAGCTCGTGCGGGAAAGCCGGCGCTACGGCCACGCGCCGAGGCTGAATGCGCAACTCTGCTACCGTAGGTAGCTATACAGGAACTCTACTCAGGGCCGAGTTTTAGCGCCGCCTAGTGAGAGGTGTTCTCACTAGGCGGCACAAAAACTCGGTCCTCCTACCGTGTCGGGTTCTTCTGCTATCCGTGGGTGCGTGCCAGCTTATCGCGCTTTCTGGTTTCAAGCGCGTTCACGCTGTAACCTGTTTTTTCAGCTACGTAAAGGATACTGAAGGAGACCAATTCGTTGATTAATTTGCTTTCTTTTAGTTTTCGGAGCCGACACCAAATGGTATTGGCTGCGCCCGCGCGCCGCCAACAACATAGAGGCAACCCAACGTGGTGCAGCCCGGAAACGACGGAAGAAGAATACCGAGTTCAAGGCCCCGCCACGAGGCGCCGTTGAAACTCGGCCCTCCTAAAGCCCCTTTATGTTTCAAAAGCAAATGCACGAGTCACGTGCAACGTGCAGCCCTTGGGAAGACCATGGCGGCACAGCGCAGCCCTGAGCTAGATTTTAGACGCCATGTTCTTCCCAGAAGTGGCGCGCGGCACGTGTCTCGAGCATTTCCACAACAATGAATGGCGCTACTTTTCCCAAGATAGAGAGGCTTTAGGCCTTCCGCGAGGTGCGTGCTGATGTGTTCCCAGATAAAGCGCCTTCATGTTTCAAAAGTAGCGCAAGGTGCGTAGTTGCACGGGGCAGGTGCAACGTGCAGCCCTTGGGAAGATCATGGCGGCACAGCGCAGCACTGAGCTAGATTTTAGACGCCATGTTCTTCCCAGAAGTGGCGCGCGGCACGTGCTTCGAAAATTTCTACAACAATGAATGGCGCCACTTTTCCCAGGATAGGGCAGCTTTAGTTCCAGATGGAGTGGTCGTAAATATAGATTAGGTCGTGCTCGGAACGAGCTCACATTAATAGACGCTTTCAGCGAGCGCCAGGTTGAGCCGCCATAGCCGACCTTCTCTTGTCTTACCGAGATGCCGAGCCACTGAAGCGGACCTTGACGAGTCTCCAGAAGGGCCTATGCTGGGGAGAAGGACACAGTAACACTTAAAATGGCAATAACCGGTCCTGCTGTTGTTATGGTGAAGTGGAGCGAACGGAATACTAGGGAACAAAAACTGAAGGTCAGTTATGGCGGCGCCCATGCACAGCCGCCTGAAAGCGTCTATTAGCCCCGAGAGCGAGCACAAGCGTCGCTGCGGTCGCCGCGCCCGGATTGGGTGAGGTCTACTGTGATGTCAGGGCGAGTACTCCGCTCCGCGATCTCGCATCGGCTCGCCTCCCAGCACCGGTTTCCTGGTTTGGCGTTGTGTGCCGCAAGCTCTTCGAGGAGCTGGACTTCGTTTACCTGGCGGTATTGACGTGCTTCCGTACATTTTATAAGTTTGCTTGTCCCTTTTACATTTAAAATTGGGTTACAAATCCCGAAAGCTATCGGCGGAGGCAATTCGATGAACCTCCCCGTCCGTCGACGCGACACAAGGCAATCTTGCGAGGGGTCGGTGAAGCGATGGCGCAAGCGTTTCAGACGCTGGAATTCTGTTCCTTGCACGTTCATGATTTAAGACGATATTAGATCCCGCTTTCAAGGCATTTGAAGTGGCATTTATATCATGAGCCTTTGGGTGGTCGGCAAATTAGCTCGCGACCCTGACTCTGCGCTGCCGCTCTACATGCGCTGGTTCGCAGATGTTTTAATGGCCGTGCGTCTGATGATCTTGAAAGTGCTCGTGGAACAGGGTTGTTTTACATAAATGCAGCTTCTTCGCGAATTAATTATATAGTTTATACACGTATGCAGGCATATTTCTTAGACGCTGCACAATCACTGGAAATTAGTTTGTGTGGTAGCAGCAAAAACGGCCGAATTGCCCCCAGTTGTATGTATGATATGTATTGAACTGCCAAACTATGCACGGCAATAGTGCCGTAATATGAAATGTTTATACTTTTTCTTGACATTCTTTATTCCAGCTTATTCCGAAAATACACCGTTTAGTCTGAATTGTCACTTCCAATTAAAAGAGACACTGCTGCAGGTCCCCAAAAGCTTTCTCAGCCTCCAAACTCCCTACAGCTGGACTCTCTGACATCAGAGGAAAACAGGAGTAAAAGCAAGCATTCGAACGTCTGTCCAGTGGTAGACGCAGCACTAGCAGCAGAAAATGTGTAACATGTAAAGGGCGACAGTCTGCGTGAGAAAAGCTTCTGGTATTTTAGCTTCAGGACAATTCGATTTAAGTAAAATCTGAATTTTAGGGCTTAAGGGGCTAATAACGAGCTAGACACCTTCGCTTACGTTTGTTATACATCACTTGAGGGTTGATATAAACAAGTGCACAAATACCACCCGTGTAGTCCATTGAAATACTTTCCGAATCCAGCAAAGGTCAAATGAAAGCAATGTATATAATAAATGTTCCTTGTTTGTATTTTTACTTTTCTCCTGCACTTGGGCTGTCTTACTTGTGATTCTTTCTTGATGGCCCAGACTGTATTTAACATGTTGCTCGCGCAGCATGCAGCTTTTCTGCTTCGGCGATCTTGTTTAAAAACGGGGATACAAAAAAATAATATACATAACCTGCCAATTCATTCAGACCATCAGCAGAATTTATTGTGCGAGATGTAAATCTATAGTGATGCTCCTGCAATTGTGGCCATATTTCTTTATTTTCATATACCAGCTGTGATTCATGCGTTGCCTGCTCTGTCAAGCATGCTTAAAATGTTGGTTGAAGTTTCGCCTGTAGCTACAGGCCATACCTCAATAAAGGGTCATATAAAAATTTACACTTCCTACGAAAAACACGCGAAAAAAAATTAAATAGAAACGAGCGCGCCGACAGCTAGCGTCGTCACAGCCTCCACCGGGCGAGCGGGCCGAGTCGTGGAAAAATTCTCTCCTCGCCGTGACGTCACCCCGGTTCGCCGTAAGGGGGCGCCACGCGAACTTCTCGGGGCTAATAGGCCGCCAAGACCGGCGGTCTTCATGATGAGGAATGCACGTTGAAAAAGAATGGTGGAAGCCCGCCGTCAGCACGCGCTCAGCAGTCGATCACACGGCTACGGCCGCCAGCGAATGCCCCCCCTTATTGTGGAGAAGATTGAACAGTCATGCCTCTAGCAGTACGCTTCAGCTGTGGAAACAGCCCGCATTTTCTTGTTTGTTTATGCTCAGAGGAATCAAAGGTGACGATTCAAAGGCCGATCCTCGTGCGACCAAATCACAGTTCAGAGCGAAGCGCTCCCGCCCAGACCGTGCTAGGCGATGTTTAATTTCTTTGTTATGTGTTAGTAAAGACCGTGCCGTGGGGACGAAAAGCTCGATAAAGCGCCCCCTATAGTTCGATCTCCTGCCCAATAGTGTAACTATTAGCGCCCCTGCCTAGCATGCGCGTTCGTGTAGTGTAAGCATATCGTTAAAGACCACAAGCTCGTGCTTATAGCTTCGGCTTTGCACGCACATACCTTTCATTAGTTCAGCCAGTGAGCTGCATGAGCAGTTTTGTACCTTAAAGGCCGGTTCTCACATGCAGCGAAGCGCTGATGTAGCACTGCTCACTTATCCTCAGCTACTTATTGTTTGCCATGAGCAACAGTTTTGACAGTGCGACACAAAGCTGGTGAACGCTACCGTCAGCACGCGCTCAGCGCGAGGTCAACGCTATGCTTGTAGCGCTCCACTGCATGTGTCAACAGGCATTTGTGGTCATGCTAGAGTGCCTTCATACACACGCTCGCTTTTGCTTGAGTGATGACAACTCAGTCATTTTCCGCCCAATCGTATTTTTTTTTTTTTTTTTTTTGCATTTTGAAGTGCCCGCAATCCGGTGTCACTCAGCTCCAGCGCGCAGCTTTGGCTAATGCATAGACGCCATTTTACCGCCCAAGTCAGGCACCAAGTGCGCGAGAGCGTCACGCGCTGGCACGTTCAAGGCAACAATGGATGTCTTCCCCCTGAGACAGACAGACATGTAGGCACCCCAGGTCATGCCACCTCAGTGTCCAAAAGCGGGTTCACCACTTTTGCAGCTGAAGCTGCCTTACCGTTGGAGTGCCGTAGCCATTGTCTTTTGCGCTGGATGTACAGGGTGTGTTAAAACCATAAGATGCAAAAGGGACAGTTACCAATCACCCATATAGTGAGAAGAAAAGAAAGTGTTCACGCCGAGATCAAGGGAAAAGAAGAAACAAAAGGCTCGGCTGGAACGTGCACGAAATGACGGAATGATGGTGTCGTCACCATGTGAGCGTATTTATTTCCTCTGAGTGTTATTTATCTTTACTTTAGCAATTAAATTTTTAACTATCCGTTGTACGGTGTCGGCTCCCCTTTGTGAACACAACATTTTATTAGTGCCGAAACCCGGTAGAAAAGCCCTGAACGACTTCGAAAGAACGATCTGGAGAACGATGCCGTGATGAATAATTTAAAAAAAAGACTGGGACACAAGTAAATGGACGGTACAAAGTTGCCCTTCCCTGGAAGAGCACGGTGGACTTTGAGGACAACAAGGGGTCGCTATAAAACACCTTCACCAGCTAATCAGTAAGCTACAAAAGTCACCTGGAAGCCTACAGGCGTACGATAACGTCACAAGGGGGGACATGACTAAGGACATGACAGAACATATAGTTCCGAGCGAAAACGAGAAGGAATTACTGACCTATTAGATTGCACACCAAGTTGTGGTTCGAAAATCAAGCAACACTACAAAGCTCCGGGTGGTTTTCAATGCTTCATCAAATGCATACGACGCAAAATCACTCAATCAAAACTTCAAAAGCAGACCTTATTTAACCTCGGACTTCGTGAGCTTCCTGCTTAACTTCAGAACGCACAAAATAGCCCTAGTGGCCGATATGAAGAAAGCGTTTTTACAAATTGAAATTGTCGAAACAGACAGGGATACGATTCGTTTCTTATAGTTTGAAACGGGACTCTGGTGCCTTCTGGATCTTTACCCCTCATTGAATGCTGGAGCATGAAACGAGTTAAATTTGGAACCACGTCAAGCCTTTTCCTGCTTTCTGCAACTATTCAACATAATTTGAAAATTGTAGAACATAAGTATCTAGAGACAGTGAAAACTCTTGAGGAATCGTTTCATGTTGATGACTCGCTAATTGAAGTAGATGAAGAAGCAGCAGCCTTGAAGATTTATACGGACGCCAAGACCATATTTAGCTCTGCTTCCATGACGCTGCAAAAGTGGGTGTCAAACAACAAACATTTGAAGAAGCGTTTCGATCAAGACTATCCTAACCACACGACAGACCTCGGGTACTTTCCTGGGAATTGAAGATGCTGGGACACACATGGGATGCAGACTGCGATAAGCTGACGTTTACGACGAGCCTCAGATCAGAAGACCAAGAAAAAAACACCAAACGAAGCGTCGTGAGAACGACGGTAAGGCTCTACGATCCCCTGGGATGAATATCTCCCTTCACTGTCAGAGCGAGGTCGCTCTTTCAACAACTGTGGAAAAGAAAGGTGGATCGGGACGAGAGCATTCCCGATGATCTGAAAGAAGAATGAATGCAGTGGTGTGCCGACCTCGACGAAGTGAACAAGATGCAAGTGCCACGCTTTTACGGGTTTCTATCGAAGGACCGTTCAGGGAACGTTGCATTACACATCTTTGCTGATGCAAGCACCGTAGCCTACGGTACGGTTGCATACGTCTGTAGTGACGACTCTGAAGGTAACAGCGTATCAACTATTGTGATGAGTAAATGAAGAATAGCACCTGTAAAACCACTAACTTTGGCAAGACTGGAACTGATGGCTTGCCTTGTCGCAGCCAGATTATACAAATTTCTGACACAAAGTTTACATGACGTACCGACGAAAACATAATTGTGGACTGATTCCACTATTGCATGTCACTGGATAGACAATGACGCCGACCGCTTGAAACCGTTTGTTCAAAATCGTGTCATAGAAATACAGTCTTGCCAATAAAATACGTTGGAGACATTGGCCGACAGTGTCGGCTCCCCTCTGTGAACGCAACACAGGGTGCGGCCGTAAGAGCTAACATATTTAGCACGCCTTGTAAAATTCGGATTCCATTCGTACATTCTTGAAATTGCATGGGCACGAAAATTTAGTTCCGCAAGACGTTCTATGTCTATCTTTTTAGAACTCAACTTGGAGGTAGTGGTATATTAAAAACAAAACAAAATCGAAGGACGTGTGTTTTCTGTGTCCTTTACCAGCCACTTTTTAGTCTCCGTCCTGGTTTATGAGCTCGCTCCGGGGTGGCTTGCTGAACGCAAAAGCACTAAGATTCGATAGTAGTGGCTGGAGATGAGCAAGATAATCCCGATAAATAATACTTTTAACGAAATATAGAAACAATTACCACTTGGGAACAAGCTCATAAACAAGTGTGCAGACGACGAACACTAAGTACAAGGCATAGGAAATGCACGGCCGCCCTTTTTGTTCTATTTTTAGTATTTTACCACCTCTGACTTGAGATGTGAAAGAAGATAGGCATACAACTTCTTAAAAAACTACGCTTGCCTGCCCAACAACAGGTGTGTAAATTTGGAGTTTGAATTTTGCAAGACGTGCTAGATATGCTGGTCCTTACGGCTGCACTCTGTACATTGAGGTTTCGAATGCATCGCGCTGCTGCATGCGCAACAAGATTTCTGAAGATGTACACTCCAGAAAAGGGAGATGACAGATCGGAAAGCGTCAAGGTCTTTGTTATAGCAATACATTTTTCTCCGCTGTTTCGTACGCGTGCTGTTTAGTTCAGCTTGCAATGCAGCGTTACTACTGGGCTTATAACTATGAGGCGACAAGTCTGGCTGCTGTAACCTCTGAAAACGGGCAGGGTGCAGGTGACATGTGTCCAGCGGAGGTTGATGCGCACGTCTTCAGAAATGCCGTTGGGTCCGATCGTCCTGGGGGTTCCCTCCTGGGAGCTCTTGGATGCCGGGAACTGCACCTTACGGAGCTGTTCTGGGTCCGAGAATGACGTCAGCGTTCCCTTGTCAGCTGCAGACAATAAGGCGACATTCGGCTGCTCGCTTCCACCCCAAGAGAATTCGTGCACTCGACACTTCAAATTATATTTCACAAGGTGAAGATGACACCCACAAAATCCTTGACTCCCGTAGTAAGGCAAAATTGAAAAATAGTTTTTTTTTGTTAAGACCATTAGGGAAAGGAATGCTCTACCTATACTTCATTTAATCTTAACGGAGCCACGAAACAATTTTTCTATTTTCGCTGAATTCTTCTTAGAATCACTCCGTAACGTTAACAACTGAATAAACTTGCCTTCGTTTTTATTCTTAGGCAATGGCAGTAACCAAAGCAATTCGAAAAATATAAGCATCGTTCATCCCCTGAACTCGGAGCCAGAACAAGCGGCCACGTGGCCCAGTGCATGACCTATGCCCCCAACGTTAATCATAGCCACGCTCTGGGGTTAGAAAAGTAGAAAACACGTGCTGAGCTCCAGGCATTGTTAGAACTCGGCTATTCTCATCACCGCAAGGGTTGGACACGAGCGACCACCTGAATGTCCGCCGAGGCATCGATTGTTAGGAGTCGAAGTCTTGTGCTTACGCAGTTCGCGTGTCCAATCCATGAGCCGCGCTCGACGGTCGTCAGGTGGATGTTTTGAGCCCACAATTACGTCATCAAGTTGTCGGAAGGTAAGACAAACAAATAGCCCCCTTTTATCCTCGCAAGTTCACCGCTACAAGGAAGCTTCTGAACCTGTGGCGGTCTGTGCGAATATACTTGGGCCAGATAGGACCCCCCCCCCCAGTACGCCTCTGCAAAATCTTGAACATTCGAACCCGATATCGCTTCATGACCCCTTTAAGTCCAGAAGCAGTCGTTGCTACGAGCTGATAGAGCCTATCAGGCAGTGTCAATAGCGCACCATCATGACGTTGGTCGTGTTTCTTTCGATGTTCTATTATCTCTGAACCAATCATAAACAGAAAAGAATAATTGACTTGCGCTTTTGACGCTGCTTGATTGGTCCCATTACCTCGTGGTGTCAGTCGCGTCTGTACTGAAACGAAGTATAGTGACATTATTTGTCCCGCAAATGCAGAAACATTGCCCTTTGCGATAACGCCCGATACAGGCACTGCAGGTCGGTATTGAATGAAGCATGGAATAAATGTCTGTGCGTTGACTTTCTTGTGGAACGCGAATGTAGCGAATCAGAGCAAACATGGAAGGATCTCAGCAAATGACAAATCTTAAAGTATGATTGAACTTCGAACTTATAACTTGCGTAGGGACACTGAGCAACTTAGGCATCATGTTCATGATTCCTAGTGATATATTCATGTTCCAGATATGACCATATCTCTAACATCCATACAACTACATACGAGGGTGATTCAATAAATAAGGTGAATATTTTTGTATAAGGACTCCTAATACAGATAGAAGCTTACTTTTTTTTTTCTACGTAGTCTCCCAGCACTGTCACACACTTTTCCCATCTGTGCACAAGCTTCCTTATTCCCTCAGCGTAAAAATCTTTAGACTGATGTCTCAGCCAGTCGCTCACAACACTTTTGACTTCATCGTCACTTTCAAACTTCATGCCTCTCGTGAACGCTTTCAAGGGACCAAACAGGTGAAAGTCCGAAGGGGCAAGGTCTGGGCTATAAGGGGGATGAGGGAGCAGCTCCCAGCCGAGCTCGTTGATGGTCTGCACCGTTAAGGCTGCTGTGTGAGGCCTTGCGTTGTCATGATGCAAGATGACTCCTTTTGACTGATGACCTATGCGTTTGTTCTTCATGTCTTTCTTGACCTGCCTCAGCAGTTCACAGTAGTTGGCACTGTTCACAGTGCTTCCTGTTTCAAGGAATGAAATGGTGATTGGGCCTTGCATATCCCAAAAAACGGTGAGCATCACCTTCCTAGTGGACCGCTGGGACTTGAACTTCTTCTTCACTGGAGAGCCTGCGTGCTCCATGGACTCTCGTTTAGACTCAGGCTCATAGTGCCAAACCCATGTCTCGTCAGATGTGACCACCTTCTGCAGAAACTCATCACCATCCTTCTCATAGCGGGAAAGACACTGTTGGGACAACTCGACCCTCCTCTGTTTGTGCTCCGCAGTAAGCATCTTTGGCACCCACCTGCTGCTGACCTTCGAGTAGCCAAGGTCATCATGGACAATTTTGTGTGCTGTCCCCACAGATAAGCTCAAAGTCCTTGCAATGCCATCCACTGTCACCCTTCTGTCAGACTGAATGAGGTCATTGACTGATTCGATCACCTCAGGAGATCTCACTTCTGTAGGCCTCCCAGGCCTGTCTTCATCCTCAACACTGATCCGTCCTTCTTTAAACAATTTAACCCACTTGTAGACATTTTTCTGGCTGAAACATGCGGCACCATACACAGTTGACATTCTCCTATGAATTTCAACGGGTTTGCACCCTTCAGCAACCAAAAACTTGATAACTGACCGCTGTTCAATCCTGGAGCATGCTTCTTGGTCAGCCATCTTTGTTACTCGGTTAAATTCTCACAGTGTTGTTTGTAATCTGCATAAGAAATTAAATCCACGTGGAAAAGTAGTAAAACAATAAAAATTACTAAAAAGTAAGCTTCTATGTGTATTAGAAGTCCTTATACAAAAAAATTCACCTTATTTATTGAATCACCCTCGTACATTAGTCATGTTACAACGTGAAACATTCTCAAGACCTTGAGAAAATGAAAACGGCAGGGAGGTCTTTTAGTTGCTCCATCTCCAACACGAGCTTTTCACATGCGATCAATGTTTGGCGTCTTGTGAGCTTGAAGCATGAACGCGCAGCCAAAACATGGCGAAAGGCAATGAGTGCATGCTAAGGTCGGACATCCGAAAGAAACACCCATGTTACTCTCCTTCTCAAAGTAATTCACATATTATTTTAACATTAATTCAGGCGTGGTTGTCAAAGTGAACAAAGACAGCTTACCATGGTTCTCAGTTGATGGGCTCGCAAGAACTGTAGGAATTCCCTCCGTTACAGTGATGGTAGGATTCGGCCCTTCGTCTGTGATGACAGGGAAAAAATATAGCGCGTAGAATTGCATTATATGCTGCCGAAACAAAGTTGAACAGCGGTGTCTCCGGTCTCTAAAATTTCTTTCTCAACGTGAAAAGAGAGAGTTCTTTTGTTTTCGGGAATTCATATATAATCACCAGAAATGCTTCCCGGTGCCATGATGGAACCACTTGGATCCTGCTAGGCGGTTACTAGCATAACTAATAAGACGTTCATATTCGCCTCAAAACTTTGCCGAGCGTTCAAGAAGGCTTTACAACTTATGCAGCAAGGCAAACGACGACACCTTATGCTAAAGTCGCCATCAACAATAGGGTATACAGTGACAGGAGTAAAAAGGCGTGGAAGCCCTTCGGTTGTCCTAATTAGACCAATTAGGTCTAACACGCTACGTGCTTGTTTGACCTAATTCATCTAACAAGCAAGTAGCTTTCAGTTGTGGAGATGAAAAGCCTGTCTTTATTCTCCTTTGGCCCTAAGCCCATACATTTCACTGTCATCTTAAGCGCGAATGGGGGACTATGGCGTCAATTTCGTTGCGTGTGCTCACGCACACTGGTGGCTGCTGGCTCGTGGAAAGAACATGCACCCCTTGATATGGACACTAAATATATTGGTTCGGTTTCCCTGTAAACGAGATCTCACGAATATCTGCAGTGGTGACATAAACGAAGGCGAGGCGGTGATTTTGGTGAAATAACATTTTTTTTGCGCATGCTGAAGGTACAGTTTTTACTCCATCATTAACTTGTTGACAACGAGCAAGAGACACCTTTTCCGGTGGCTGTCGTCCGAAGAAGTCAATGCTTAAAGGCCCGTTCATAAAGCCCGTGTTTCACATTACGTTATGTTACGGCAGCTCACGTCTAGAGTCACCGGTGCATCTATACTTTGCACCAAACACAACAACCAGTTCAAAAAGCAACTTAGCACCCGACATTCGAAGTACAGGTATTCCTGTGATCCATAACCATAACGTAACGTAAGGAAACGTAAGTAAACACTGCTTTGTGAATGGAACTTAAAGGAATGCTGAACGAAACATTTCAGTGTCCATAATAAGTTGTGCACGATCTTTACACGAGCCAGCAGCCAATGGTGTGCGCGAGCACACGCAATGAAATCGACGCCACTGTCATCCATTCAGTCTTAAGATGGCAGTGAATTGTGTGGGCTCGGAAGAAAGTGAGTATAAAGACAGGCTTTGCATCTCCAGAGTGGTGTCTGGTGTAAAAGGTAGGCGATCAATTGGTCTAACAAGCACGCATCTATCACCTCTGGAGATGAAAAGCCGGTTTTCATTCTCCTTTTACCCGGAGCCCATGTATTTCACTGTCCTCTTACGCGTGAATGGAGGACTATGACGTTCATTTCGTTGCGCGTGCTCTCGCACACCGGAGGCTGCTGGCCTGTGGAAAGATCGTGCACCACTTAGTATGGACACTAAAATGTTTGGTTCAGTATCCCTTCAACAATCCGTACAAGCGGAACCCCAGAGCGAAAGTTAGCCATAACGGTGGACTCCGGGTGCCATCGATTGGAGCAGCCTGCAGCTACTAATTGATATCGTCGAAATGTCTGTAATCGAGATTCAAAAGTAATATGTGTTCGTACTGTGATCAACGGATCTTAAAGACTACTTCCTCGCATGTTTCTTGTGATCTCTGTCGTCACTGCTTAACGGTATTAGCCGTTAAGAACACCTAAGGACGAATCACGAAGACAGAAGAGTGAAAAGCAGTAAATCACGCTCTACGTTTTTTTTGTTTTTTTTTCTACTCCCAGTGTCAATGCCATTTGGTACAGAAAATAAAAATCATATAGGGCCGAAATGAACGGTGCTAAAGATCCGAGACATCCAAAGACCGTAGTTCAACTAATCTTTTACGAATAACATTTAGCGTAACATTGTTACAGCAGCTGACTGATGCTTAAGAAACGAAGGACGTGGCCTTTTTTGTCTTCGTAATTCGTTCTTGGGCGATCATAGCGGCTGATGCCGCAACCTTATCGTCTGCGAACCAACAATATAAGGTTCGGGACTCGCCGCGCCGTGCGTTTCCTAAACTGTATTGAACCATGGCTAAAAGCGCTAAAAAAGACGTACACAAGATAGAAGACAAACACGGGCGCTACTCACAACTGTATTGGGAAAGGAAGATGGAAGTACACACACACACACATATATATATATATATATATATATATATATATATATATATATATAACGGGCATGGTGGCGGGAGGCCGAAGGCGTGGGTATAAAACTGAGAAGAAAAAAACCCTTAGTGAAAAACAGCAACAACGGACGATTTAATCTTCGACGTTTCGGCCGGAGTCCGGCCTTCGTCAGGAAGACTAACGAAGGCCGGACTCCGGCCGAAACGTCGAAGATTAAATCGTCCGTTGTTGCTGTTTTTCACTAAGGGTTTTTTTCTTCTCAGTTTTATATATATATATATATATATCTGATAGACGTGTTTGTCTTCTATCTTGTGTACGTCTTTTTTAGCGCTTTTAACCATGGTTCAATACTGTCAACACCAACTAGCCCAACAACAAGTTCTTTTACAGTTTCTTAAACTGTCTGTGACTAAATATCGTATACAGTAGCGCTCTTACATCGATTAAAACATCGAACCATCGTACCCTCACAACTTCCTGCATGTATATGTTTTGCCCCACTATGTGCTCAGGTTATCGATAATTTGCTCCTATGGAAAGCGCCCAGCGAACTTCAAGAGGCAGTTGCATACTGCCTCGTTGGCCATACCGAAATTGCATCAGAATGTCACAATTGGAAGATCGCCTTTCTCATGGGCTGAACTGATTATGAAAAGCACGGTGATCGGTGTTCCGAATACACCGTAATATACTGTACACTGCCCATGAGTCGGGAAAAGAAAAAGGCAAATGGGTCCTCGACACTCAATTTCTTCGACCTGCTCAAGGCGATATGTATCCAGGTTGTACATTTTTTTTATATTCACCTGTCATTGTGACCATGAAATGAAGTTGCAAATAATATTGTCGCGGATGGAAAAGGATCGACAAACTGAAAATGAAGGTTTATTCGGAGAACTTGTGCCAGGAGCGAAAGAAAGAAACAAGCATCGAAAAGGCGGGCATCGAGGAATAGGCGTGAAAGCTGGTCTTGGGGGGAGCAACACTGATTTGGCAAGGCCATCTGGGCTCCTTATCTATTAAACTGAATATCTCGAACACCCGGCATAGAATGTTCGAGACTGACACGGCAAGGCTATGTTGGCCTCCATATATTTTACACTCAGCCCCCATATCGAACATTCCTCCCAGAATGTTCGAGCGTCGAGCATCTGAGGTAAGAATGAACGCGAATCTTCTAGAAGTATGAAGTAACGTTCCTTCTCGGCCGTGTGCGCCGCAATATTCGCAGTACATGATTGCTTCGGCTGGCGCGCTGTTTTTCACTGTGGTCCGTTTCAAATTGCAATGTGCAATGAAGGAGTGCGAAAGTCTATATTCCCTGACAGAGTTAGAACGGCATGGGTGCCCTTCATTTGATGCGCTTCCAGCGGGAGCTTTCTCCCTTTGATAAAGCGTCGGCGTTTTATGCGCCCCGAGCGTACACACGCAGCCAAAGTACAACGGAATTCAGCAATGAACTCGTGCCGGAAGCCGGGAATCTGAAAGAAACGCCCTGCCATCCTCATCCCGTCAGCGACTACACCAACGTAGGGCCGAAATCCAGTAAATAGTAGATAGTGTATGCGCATACAATATTTTTATTTTAGTGAATCAGAGAGACTGTTTTTTTTTTTTTTTTTAATACTCGCAACTTTCACGACTTATAGGGGGCGCGCTGGCGCCTATCAAAATGGCTGTCGTGGGAATCATCGTCGCAGAACAGCAGTAGGGGGCGGAATCTGCGACGCGTAACTAATGCTAGTTTTGCTTTATACGAACAGTATTGGAGCATTACTTCATTTGTTCATGTCAGGAAAGTGTAGGCCAGCACCTTTGTTATGAAGCCGATCATCCAGGGGCTATAGGAAGCTCAATTCTTACACCGCAGTACCACCATCGCTGAAAGTTGCGAATGTAGTCGGGTCTTCGTATATAATACACACTCTCGGTGATTGGCTATAAAAATGCAAACATCAGGATTAAACCCTAAACAAATACTTCTCATCTACGTAGGTTCAACGAGTTTAGTTAATCACTCCGCATTGCGAAGTATGCTCAACCAATGATGCGCGGGCAAAATGTCTGACTTGATGGGGTGTATCAGGGTGGGCACTCGGCGATTGGCGAAGTTCGAATACCAATCACCGATCACCAGTGAGTGAGATTTCGGCGATAATCTTTTGGCATGACGTGAAGTTGTGAGAAGCCATGCAAATACATTCTACGCACATGCGTGTGTCCAATCTAAACACTTCTGCGGTCGACATTTTCCAAGCTCCCAGTGAAAACGACGCTAATTGACTCGAAACTGATAGACTCGAAAGATGGACCGCCCGGCAGACACAACATCAAAAACAAAAATGCTTCCATGGATTGTGTCACATGGCTGCTCAAGCAATTGACTCAAAGACATACTTGTTTCGTTACTTGAAGCCTTTTCTGTTGGTTCGTCTGCAAAAATGAACAAACATGAAACTCAAAAAAGCAATTCTGTGCCGTCCGTGACTGCAGTGGCAGATCTGGGTACTGCGGAACGGCGGGACACGGGACTTACCCGACATGTTGGTGCTAGTAATCGCTGTATGTATCTTGCGTGGTGGCCGTTCGTCACGCGCGCCACGTACTTGAGAGCGTTGCACGCGCGGTTCGGGATGGCGGATTTTCTCGAGGCAGCTTCGACGGCTTCGGCTGCCTGGAGTCTTCATTTTCTTTTCTTAAAGAGGGCGAATATACTGTAGACATCGGACGCCGACTCCTTCACACTCTAAGATATGAGTGCGCTTCCACTTACCCACCTGCGATCTACGAAAACAGCTCAGCAAATGATGAGGCGGAACATCCGTTTAGACCTAAAAATGAAGTCTGCGGGCATGACGTAATGCAAAGCGTCGTGCTCGCATTGCGTCATGCCACAGCGCAGGCTTAATTTTGAGGTCTAAACCGATGTCCCGCCTCATCATTCGCTTTTCTGATTTTGTATATCGCAGAGATTGGCTCTTCGAATGTCTTGTGGGTAAGTAGACGCGCAGACATTTCTTAAAGTGCAGATCAAGATATTCCGGGCTTTCTTTGCCGTCGGCATTATGTCCTTACTTCCACGTTTACTTTACACGTACACATGCATATACATATTATCACAGGAAAATATTTTTGTTATACTATAATATACCTTATTCAGATTCGTGCGCCATGTGTCGGACGTTTGCCACCAATTTTCTTCCATACTCTCAAAAACATGGCTACTCATGTTTGAGGTTACAGGCTTGTTGTTGCTGTTGGCATATAGAAGTGTTGACGTATACCGAAGGAGGGTATTGGGCAAGGATCAACGTGTATATGAAAAGTAAGGTTCGTACCTATGCTTGAAATTTAAAAATATCATTTTGTTCAACACTGAAAGACTGTAGCAAGGTAATCGTTTTGTTGCCGTGATGCATGTATGAGTGAGCAAAAAGCGTTGTTTGTGAGCCCAAAGTACGTCGCTCCAAAAGAAAAGATATTTCAGTCGTTAGGGGGAGGTCCAGCATCTAAAAAGAATGCGCCACATATCGGTTGCGCTGGAGCGTAAATTTACGGCAGAATAAAATGTAATGATCTAGAGTTTCACGAGTTTTGCAATATGGTCACAGAGGTGAAGCGGAGAAACCAAATCTGTGGGAATAAAGGCTGAGGTTCGGGACTCTGCATCGTAAACATGTTAGCGCTGTTTCGCATTGTCAGAATTCACAGCAATCAACGTGGAGTGCTGAAAATCAGGAATATTATAAAAAAATTTCATCTTGGTTATAGGTGGTATTCACTGAATGTGCATGTTCGATTTTACCAGGGAGCACCACCGTCGCGCAGCCATCTTGTAGGCCGCGTTTTGCGTGTTTTTGTTTCGGCGGCTTTCGTACGGTGGCCTAAAACCCTTTCAATTTATAATATGCGGCTAAACCACGCCGAAGAAAACGGTCATACGAGAGGCGACTCGCAATGCGGTCTATGCGGGATGAGACGGAGACATCTAAGACGGCGGCCGCGGCCAGCGCACCTAGCGAGCGACGTAATTTGAATATCACCTGTATGTGAGCATGAGGTATCCGCGGACCTGCGCACAGAGCACAAAGTGAAGTAAAGAGAAAGTCTCGATAACAGGACATGCCAACGAATCTCCTGCTAGGTAGTCGGCGGCTTCATTTTCAGGAATACCCATATGGTTAGGTAACCAAGTTACTGTTAAGTTCTGTAATATGTGTCGGCACAAGAGCACAAAACTACTTAAGCTGGAGGTTACCGTCACCTCCAGTGAATTGCAGACAAATTTGCAGTCAGTGAGTATAAGGACCTTTGAAATATTTGATGGTACTTTTCTCAGTGCCAGTACAGCAACGAGAAATTTTCTTTTGTAGATAGGAGTATAGTCAAGGTAAGGGTACAGAAACGCCGTCACCCAGGCTTGGGATGTAGATGCCAACGCCTGATCTCTGATTCGGCACTGACCAATCGGTTGCGATTAGAAGGATGTTTATAAAAGACTGAAAGTAATCTTCAACATCCCAAGGAAAATACAAAGTGTAAAGTGCCTCGAAGTACTGTCAAATATGTCGCCTTCGACAATCATTACTTTCCGTTGTTGCAGCATATATATAGGGCCAGAGTTTTGAAGAGAAAATTGTAAAGGGTGAATTAACGATTGCATATATTTGAAGTGTGTAAGTGGGGCCCTCCGAGATGATGAACTTTGGGTCACAATAAGTTGTCGTTTTATTTCCAGAGTTACTAAACCTATGTAAAAATATATCAGTACGTCTGAACTGCTAATATTTGGAATTGAGTCACAAGGGGTGGAATACGACTTTCTAGGTAAAGGACACTTTTCGCTGCGTATTTTGAGAGGCCCAAGCTCAGGCGAAGTGCTTTGTTCTCTAGCACAACGAGGGGTTTTATTCTACTTGCCGCTCGACTTCCAAACACTATAAATTCAAATTCCAGTATGGGACGCACATACCTCATGTAGATAACGAGCAGGGCCGACCGGCACAACCCCGTACTTATGCTCGCACCTTGAATTAATCGTCCTATTGCTTTTCTCCTAGGGTGCCAGATGGGTCAATAGGTTATTTTCAGGTTTATTTCTCCTCCTAAATCATACCGAAATATTTCACGTTGTTAACTCTGTATTGATATACAGTTCATCGGTGAGCTGGGCACCAACTGGAAAGATAGAAAGTGCGCTTTTTGTTGCGTTAAAGGGCCACTGAAAAGAAAGAAATGTTATTTGAAACAGTCTGGTTGAAACGCTCGTGCCAAAAAATAAATTTTACGCAGAAAAAAATTGTTAGTGCGATATTTACGGATCGAGACGCGATTTAGTCGGCAGTCACCTCTTTTCCATTTGTTTCCTCTCTCGGCATTTCGAGCGCGAGGAGGAGAGGTGGATCGGCTTGGCCATCACGTTGAGGTTTAGAGAGTGTATGACCATTCCGTGAAGTCATGGACTTTGCGCGCAGAATTTGAAATAAACCTTGTGCCGTCAATATTGCTCTAATTTTTTTTTTTTTTGCAGAAAAATAATTTGTTTACAAAAATTCTTTTTCTTTTTAGTGGCCCTTAATTTAGAGTGGTACACATGGTAACCAACCCAGCAGTGTATCAAGATAGTTCTGAAGCTTAGTATAAAGTGTTAGAACATCGGCAGCGGATGTAAAGAAGGCGATGTCATCGGCATAAACTAGAGTTCTGAAGTCCCTCATCAAAAAAATTTAGCTCATGACTATAGTGAAAGGCAAAGGGATAGGACGAAACCCTGAGGCGCTTCTTTCGCTTGTTGAAATATTCGGGATTTTGACCAACTCTTACTATAGTAAAAGTGCCAGTAAGAAAGAAATTCTTGAATCCAAGAGGTTATGTAGGGTGACAGTCTTAGAGATAAGTCATAAGAATGTTGTAACCCACCGAGTCAAAAGCCTTCGAAATATTGAGTGTGACATGAGCGGGGAATTTCCGCTGTTTTTCTTTTTTTCGCAAGTCTAATTTTACTTTTGAGCGAAATCTGAAAACTACGGCGAACGTCACCGTGGCGTTTTCTTATCGTTTTTATTCTAGCTATAATTATGATTATTGTGTTGGTTTTATATTACACTGATCATTGGCTTTGTTTGGTATGCACCAAGCAACTGAAGGACAACAAAAACAACAAAACATAACTCTTGCAATCATTCCTTAAATAAAATAAAAAAAGATGCATATTTTTGGTTTTTCCTTTAGTATGCGCTAAAATTGGCAAGTAACGACACACAAAAAAACGCTAATTTCCTACAGTTTCTTTGAATCGTTGCTTTTGAGAGCAAAGATGAAGTGCGCCTGATGATAGCGCGAGCAGTTTGCGCACGAGAAACGCGAGCTTCAAACCTTCGTTCGATGATCCTGCAAAAGGTCTTCATGATCTCTTCTGCGTTCTTCTTGGTGTCCCTGGCTTCTCTGGCCCTAGGTCAGTTCCCCTTAACGCCCCGGTTCATCGCCACTCCGTACTTCAACCGCGGACCTCACGCCAGGGCCAACTTCTTCAAAGACGGCCTCTTGTTGGACCCCGGCTGCGACAGGACTAAAATGGACGGCTTTAACGGCTGCTTCTGTTACGACAATAAGTGCGGTGTGACAGCTGCAAGAGCCCCGTTTCCTCCCGTCGGCATGAAATGCAATCTCACGTGAGCCACGTTTCACCACTTATGCATATTCTTTAGTAGGGAGTGCATCTTACTTCGCGAAAATCCAATGGCCTTGGCGCCGATAGCTTTTGCGTATTTGGAACGGCTTGACGCGCGCAGCCTCGGGGTTTCTTTTTTGAACTGGTAGCTTCCGTCATCTATCTTCGGGGATAGCATTCGAGACAGCGGAGACGGACGGCTCTGCCGTCTTGGAGAATCCGGTATCTCGGTTCATCGGCGTCGGTCATCTCCCTTGGCGCAGCGTGGAAGCGCGTCCGCGTGGACAGCGCAATGCGCGTGCGTTATGCCCGCTGTCACCACCGCGAGGCAAGATTTCATGTTGTAGGCACGTTGTCTAGCCCCACTTAACGGAGCAGAATGTATAGGGGGTATTCACTGGACGCCAAAATTGAGTGCACTGTTCATTGGGCATGCTCAGAACGAGCTCAGACTTATAGGTTCCCAAGACTGGCCGTTCAATTGTGGATTGTTGCAAAGGCACCCTGGAAGCTAGCCATCAGCACGCGCTGAGAAGTTACGCACTCATCAACGGCCGCCAGTGAATAGGTAGTATTCACTAACCGCCACAGTTGAGTCTATTCCTGCTGTGCGCGTGCTTTCGATGAGCCTGCCAGGTTTCCTGCATTCGCTACCATCAAGATTGTAGTTCATAAAAGATATCTGGGGCCTCGTTATGGGCATGCGCTGTAAACACCGCGCTCACACATGGCGCCAGTGAATATCAACTATTCTCCTAGTAAAGTACTTGGTTTATTGTTTTCTTTAGGCTCTGCCAAGATATAGTACGTCGACTTTACCGCAAATCACTTGGGAAAGTCGATCGCTGTAAATTACGGAGGTCGCTCGGCGAATGTCGGTGCTAAAAATGTTGCTTACTACCGAAAAAACATAGTCTGTGCTAAGATACTGAGCGTGTCGTCAGCACGTGAAACGCTGTTTTTTACGTCAAGCTATTTACCGTTTCTTCATTCGCCGAGTTCCCCCCGTAGATGGCTGCTAATACGCAACTGACATTTTCTGCCATACCCTAAACCAGAACAGCGTCCGAAGCGCCACCGCCACGGCATGACGTATAAGAGCTGAGGTGGCGTGGAGAATTTGCTTGGGCACTAGTAAACGTAATTCTAATGAACGACCTTTGGAGAAAGTTATTGTACTTCGAATCGTATTTTATTTGAGAAGTTACAGAAGTATGCTTATCAGCCTATTTGTCTAACCAACTATAGTTCACTCTCGAAAAATATAAATGTAGCAGTCATGTCATATGCTCAGCTAGTCAGAGCCCAACCGGGGAAGAGCCCGTTTGTCCTTTGTCCCTCTTGTTCCCTTTCTCCAGGGATTATTTTCGTCATTCTTGTCGAGCTCGCTTGCACCTTTGCATTTAATTGCATTCTAATTATTGAAGAAACGTAGCTCGAAAAAATATACAGACTTGGTTTATTTGGGAGACGGTACTCTGTCGTCCGTGGCACTTCGGGAAACGAGGGGTATAGCTTCACCCTAAAAAAAGCCCGTGCGCCAACTTTCCCGCACAACACTTTGAGATCCAATCACCGCAGCTTACGGAGGCAGCTCAGCGAATGACGATGCCGAAACATATGTTTAGACCAAAAAACGCAGTCTGAGTTGTGACATTAAGCAATGCAAGCGTGACGTTTTGCTAATGTCACAACTCGGACTGCGTTTTTTGGCCTAAACATATGCTTCGGCATTGTCATTCGCTGAGCCGCCTCCGTAAGTTGCGGTGATTAACTCTCCGAGTGTTGTGCGTTTAAGTTAACGCACGGGCTTTTTTTAGAATGTGCATGTTCACCAATTTTTGTATAATTCCTTCTTCCGCGTACTTATTGATTAATGTCGTAACCTAAAAGACTGCAGAGCGATAATCAGATTCTCGAAGCTCGCAATATTCTAGCGGCTATTTACAGGTATTGCAAGAAGGGATCTTGTCTCTTGTCCTTTTTTTTGTGATGACGTCTAACGTAATCCTGAAAGTAGCTCCCCCCTTCCCCCTACACACGCACAAGAATTAATGGGTCATTAAATTAAACGATTGTGTTAGCCCATAAAGGCATTAATGAACAGTGACTGAAAACAAAATATGGAAAAAAAACTAAACGGCGGAATAGGCACAAATAAGCGGTAAAAGTCTGTACCGTAAGGACAGTGCATGATTATTCTTTTTCAGCTCCGGGTCGGGAATTCCAATGAGAACCGTGATCTGCACTTTGGGGATCCACAAAGCCGTGAGCTTGTTTGGTCTCAAGGTGATCTACAACATGGGAGACATTTTGGCCTACCCCAGCGAAGGTTATCCTACCTTTCCCCTGCATCAGTTTAAGGTAATCCTTGAAATTAGCTGTTAGCGAGTTCCCTCCCAAAGACGCTGAACTCTCTCGTCAAGTAAAGCTATCCCATAGCCTTTTTTGCTACAGCGCAATTTTCTCGCAACGCTTTTTTTTTTTTTTTTGGGGGGGGGGGGGGTATATATTATGGGGCAATCTGCTTAAATATTTGATGATAGAATGTGGCAAAAGCATAATATGCCTCAACAAGGTTATCGGGGCTTAGAGCGATAAACTGGTATCCCGTTCACCAGGCAAAAGTGACCCCCGCAGTTTTGCGCAATTTTGATCACTAGACATGTGACCGTACCGAATCCCGAGGCTTTTACGCAAAAATGAGCTGAGATTTATATTGCGATGGCTGTAAAAACATGATAAACAATTTTTTTCAATACTGTCAGCCCCGGAGATCAGTGTCTAGCTCCGATGAAAACCCAAGATTCAGCACCGCGCCTGACGGCATCTAGCGGAGGCATTACGAAGCTGCCCGAGTTTATGTCGCAAAAGCACATTTCTCGGCTTAAAACAAAGGAAACATTACTTATTTCCTCAGTACTGTTACTAAAGATCAATAAACAATTATTTGTGCGTGGTACTTCGTTAAAATCGATGTAAAACTATATGGGTCACCTGTCTAGTGGTCAAAATGTCGGACATGGCGGCGGCCGATCGGGGGTCACTTTCAGCTGCCAGTGTATCGCTATAACTCTTTCTACCTCGTTGGCATACCCTGTGAAATGAACTGGAAAAGTCGTTGCTCATTTTCGAAGAGCTGGAATCTTTGCAACAAGTGTAGTTTAGTTTTGCGTTTTTACCTTTTTGGTACAGCTAACAGTTTTTTTGTTTTCATAAAAAAAACAATAAAAAAAAACGAAAATGGTATTTTTAGGAGTGTGACACTGACACGGACGTCGGTCAAGACAGGTAGATGGTCAGGTTGGATGCTCGTCCCAGGGAGAGGTATCGCAACATGACATGGAGATTATGAGCCGAAGGACACCGATAAGTGAGGGAACAGCAACACCCTTGCACAAGCACACTTGTCTTTACTTTTTTTTTTTTTTTCAGAAGCATTGCATATTTAGTTTTATACATGTTAGAGTACGTACAGCGTACCTTAAATGCGACATACCGCTGCCACTGTGACATATCTTATAGTCGATGACAGCTTAAAAGGAAGCTGAAACACTTTTCAAGAAATGTGAGTTTGGAGTGGACTTCCGCAGCTCTTTGTCACGTGAATTCAGTTTTCGCCTTTATCTTGGGCAGAAGTACACGTAAACCGCAAATATTTTGAAAAGTGCCAACCAGTACAGACAAAAGCATTCTTCTGAGCTAGGCTCACGTGCCTTTGCCTTTTTCTTTACTGCAGACATTTGTGAGATGGAGTCTATCCAGAGCGCCGTGACGTCATTGACAGCATCCCCGAGCCAGCTTAGTGGCGATCAAGGGTCATCTGATCCCACTGATGACGTCACTTTTGCTAGTTTTTTTCTTCCCGCTCTCGCGCTTTTTTACCGTCGGCGCGTCGCAACGGCGGGTGTACGCGGAAATCTTAATAGATCATTGGCTATATTACCCAAGCATCAAGGAGAATGCAGGGACTGGTGTTCCGCGCGCCACACGCGCACGCCTTCCCTGTATACAAAATTCGAAGTAAATAACCAAAATAAAGCGTTGACGAGCGCGCGTGCAAGATGCAATTTGTTTTAGGTATTTGCTTTGGAAAAGTTACTACTGCTGAGGCCAGCACGTGCGGCGCGTGGAACACCAATCTCTGCATTCTCTTTGATGCTTGGGTAATATAGCAATAGGTTTATCGGCTGTTACTAATAAGACCAAAACAAAACTTAAGACTCAAAATTTTGAAGGTGTCTACGTTACAACTTTTATTGTTTGTTCGAATTCAAGGACCTCTTCAGCTTCCCTTTAACAAACGCGAGGCGTGGCAAGCCCCGCGGATCCTATTATCACTTCTCCGCCCATCAGATTGCGGCATTAAGCGTTAAGAACGCCGGAGAACGAATCACAAAGCAAGAACCGCGCCCTACCTTTCTTAAGTTGTCAGTGAATATAAAGACCCGTTCCCATTGTTGAGACTGGTTAGGACCCTGTGCCCATTAAACCTCTTAAAGTCTTCTTAAGACGAGAGAGCACAGTGGCGCCACCTATTTAGTAGCCATGGAAAGCTTGTCAGTTCCGTATATTTACTTATTTATTGTACATAATTCCTTCTTTTTTGGCTTGGAAAACTTTTGTCAATGTTATAAATGACAATTTCTTATAGGTAATTCATACATTTGATCTTGCAAATAGAGCAAAACCTTCGCTCTAGTGAAATGGTGTGCCAGGGTCACAGCATAAATGATGCCAGCGTGATAGTGTGTTGCTCTTCTCGTTGAAAGAGATTTGCAGAAGTTTTAAAAAGCCCTGAAAAGAAAAAAAAATCTTTTTTTTTTTTTCAACAGATTGTTTGGAACACTCGTGTCAAAAAATAAATTTTTCTGGATTTTTTTTTGAGTGGCATTTGTTTGAGTTTTGTTTGAGTAGTAAAGACGCGATATAGTCGGCAGTAACCTCCTCTCCACTTGTTTTCTCTCTCGGCATTTCGGGTGTGTGGAGGAGAGGTGGAGCGGCTTTGCCTGCGCGACCGAGATGGTCATTCCGGAAGAGACCAGCGCCGTCATGGACCTCGCGCGCAGATTTAAAAATAAATCTCTCCTCGTCAATATTGCTCTAACATTTTTTTTCGAGTAAATTTTATTTTTCACTTCGCGTGTCCCAACAAGACTGTTAAAAATCGTTTTCTTTTTTCTTTTCAGGGGCTCTTTAAGTCCCACAGTTGTAGGAAGTCGCGAGTGCGTGAACAGGCTTTAACTGTAACATACACAGTAAACTTCAAAACACCTATAGAGGTGTTTGGAAGGTGTTTCATACCGAACACAACTTTTAAAAATCGCAATATTTTTTACAATAGGTGTATGTTTTCGATACACCTCCTGCGTGTGTGAGAGCGGTGCTGTTACACCTTTTGGCGGCTTCGGATAGCTGTTTAGAACATATTACACAGTTTACAGAGGAGAATGTTTTTCTGCCTGAAAACGCCTTTTTTTTTTTAAGTTTGCCAAAACCGACTTGAAATAATAGACCGGTGTGGTACTGGGCTCTGCGAATAAGACATGTTTTTGGGAACGTTGGGGAGAAGGGAAGGGGGAAAATAACGGGCTAATCTAACCACAAAAAAGGAAGGATTTCGTAAAACATTAGAAGGGGCTACAATTATGCATAGTTTCGGTTTGGGCCTCTAAACCGCGGAGACACACTTCATCGCTATCCCTATCAACAAGACGACATGGTGGCGGTCGAGCGTGCCGATAGAAATGCGCGAGTGTGTCATTTGTCAGTCAAGATAAGTTCTTGATTGTTTTTTTTTTTTTTTTTTGGGGAGGGGGGGGGGTTTGAAGGAGGTATACAACTTGGAAATATTGATGGGTGCACTATCAGAACTTTCGATCTCTGGACGCCAGTTTTGTAATGGGAGCCGTACTATAAAGTTGACTACAAACACATTTCTTTCAGCAAAGCTATACGTACGAGCTCGTGCACCTTGACAGGAAATGTCTATATGCACGACGCGGAGAGCTTTTGCCATTTGTGTCACACTTTTCAGACGGCGCGGGTATCACTAAAAAGCGTATTCTCCGGGACTCGTCCGAGTCGGGTGGTCAAGTGGACGCGGACCTCTCGTTTAACGAGGCGCTCAAAACAAAGAAACTCGACAGGCGCGTATCCCCGAGCCCGTGCGGGGGGCTTGGGAAGGACGAAGAATGGACTTAGAGAGAAGGCTCCAGATGGGCACACTTGTGACCCCCGCCAAGTTGAACCAGTGGTACTGCGACCGGTACACTACGGGAGCCTGCCCCTTCTATGGTGACCCCCTGGCGGACGTGCTTCACGTTACTTGGAAGTGTAAGATGATCCCTGGACTGGCTCCACTAGTGGAGCCTTCTACTGAAGAGTGGGAAGCGGGGCTGCAGAGTTAAGTCATCGATGTGCAAAAGCTGCTGGTGACCTGCGCGCTGCATGCCCAAGCCGCAATTGGAGCTCTGCAATGAGGGCATACACCCACTGTCTATCTCTTTAACTCCCCCTTCCCTTCCTAAACTTTCCTGTTATGTCCAGTAAAAGTTTTCAACAATCCTTACAAAAAAAAAACACAAAAAAAAAAAAACAATTTCTACAGAATTTCTAGACATAATTACGGCTAGAGAGCATAGATTTCATAGGGAGAATGTATCCACTTTTTTAACCATTGTCTACAGATTATTGGCCGCTGCTTCCCACAGGCTTTGTTTAGACTTCAGTGTACAGATAATGTGGCGACTCTGCACAGCAAACATAGAGACATTCCAGCAACATTCCTGTCCCATTTCTAGCGCCAATAAGAGAGTTTCTAATGAATTGCTGTAGACAAGTGATAAACATTCTTTCTAAATGTTTATCAGGGCCGGATCTTGTGTCAATAAAATCCTGTGACTATGTAGTTAACTTCAAGCCTGTTGTAAAAGCGTTTCTTTCTACACACGAAACCTGCTTATGACTCATATCAACGATTTTGTCATGTTTTCACTGTGTGTGGTCTGTCAAGTCAGGTCTGTAGAAAATCTAGGAATATGGCCACGCAAAGTCTAACGACCGTTGGCGACAGACAGTTGGTAGGATTTCTGGCGACTGTGCTCTGTAGACTCCTGTTGACAGGAAATCTGTAGAAACCTTGTAGAAAAATGGCGATAAGATAGGAAGTGGACAGGTATGTCAAAAAATTGTTAAGACGTCTACAGACTGGCCCATATTTTTTTCTTTTGCAAGGGAACAACAACAACGAAAATCTTTAGAGCGATTAACATAGCCGAAGGCCTGGCAGCTGCGATGGCAGCGTTCTGGGCGTTTAATATCAAGTATGCTAAAGGGTGCCTCAATACAGCATCTGACTTTGA